TATATATATATATACACACACACACATATATATACTTAGTTGTTGATGGACCTCATTTAATTAATTCATTTATATGCAGTGTTGAGAATCGAACCCAGGGCCTCACACATGCTAGGCAGGCACCCTACCACTGAGCCACAACCCCAGCCCTACTGACTGATTTTTAAATTACTGTTTTTCCTTATGATAAAGACAGTATTAGGCTAATGAGCAAGGTGGTGAGATCATCGAGTGAGTCAGAGGTGCAGTTCTGGAGAACAGAAGAGGATGACATGACAGAAGGTGATCTAGGATATGGCCTCGGAAGAAGACCTGGTGGAATTTACGAAGTGGAAGTTTCACATTTACTTACATCTAGAAAAAGATCAGATGGAAAGAACTTTAGCCCTCCCCCATTTCTAAGAAAGGGGAAAGAGAGAAGTGGAGCCATTTTTCAGTATTTCAAGCAAAAGAACTTGCAAGACACCTGCCTTCAAGGGTCCAGGATTTCCAATTATAGACAACAAAGCAGCACTGGTAAGAATGCTCAGTTTCTCTCCTTTCCCTGTGAGTGCTGTCACCCTTCCAACGCATGAAAATAGGTAACCATAGTAGATTTTAGAAATTCATTCTTACCTTTAATTGGTACAAAAGTAACTGACATTTATATTTCCAACTATTGTACAAAATATGCAATAGTTATTCTACTTTAATAATATTTTTGTTAGTAATCAATAAATTATTAACTACTTTGCTTTTTCATGATGTAGTTTTATTTTTTTTTCCTTTGTCAACAAATACTTCTTGGGTACCATTAGGTGCCAGGAACAGGTCTCGGTTCTAGCAATAATATGAGTGAACACAGCTGGCAAAGGCACTGATATGTATTTCACATTCTACATAAACAGAGAAAATAAACCTAAAAATCAACAAATGCATAATATCACTCGGTGGTAAGTTAAAAGATAGTGATTGGGGAAGTGGAGTGCTGCTGTTTCAGGCCAAGGATGGGAAGGCTTCTCTGAAGGGGAGCAAATCTGGTGGCTAACTGGTAAAGGCAGGTTCCAGGCAGAAGATAGATGCTTCCAATTATTTTTGGATATCCTGAAGTCTCAAAAATTGTCAAAACAAACTAAATCTTAATTTATCCTAACCAAAAAGAAATTATGCTTTAGATTAGAAAAGGAATAAAATTCATAATCAGGTCTATGCCTGTACCAGGGCACTCCCTGCTGTCCGGCTGAATTTTTATAATCCAGGTTGTAAAATTTTCTCTCCTGAAACTTTCCTCATGAAAGTTGAACAGATTTAAATTAAAACCACATAAAAATACCTTTAGCCCTCCTAATCCACGGGTGGCACATCTTCTCATTCCCTCAACTGCAGATCATAAAAAGTAATACCAATAAAAAGTAACAATACACACAGGGCCCCAGTTGCACATGCCTGTAATCCTAGTGACTTGGAGTCTTTGATCGAAAGTTCAAGGCCAGCCCAGCAATTTAGTGAGGCCCTACGCAACTTAGTGAGACCCTGTCTGAAAATGGTTAGGCACTCCTGGGTTCAATCTCTAGTACCAAAAAAAAAAAAAGTAACAATATAATGATAAAAACAATACAAATAAAAGCCCAATAAGTATAACAACTATTTAAATATGGCACACACCTGTAACTCCAGCCACTCAGGAAGCTGAGGCAGGAGGATACCAAGTTCAAGGTCAGACTTGGCCACTTGACCATTTAGTGAGACCCTGTCTCAAAATTAAAACAAGGGCTGGAGACTCATGTGACTCAGTGATAAAGCACACCTGGGTTCGATCCCGAGTACCAGGAAAAAAATTTTTTTTTAATTTAAAGGATATAGGAGGATGTGCATGGGTTATATGCAAATACTAATTTTACATAAGGGTTTGGGCATCCACAGATTTTGGTATCTTAGGGGGTTCTGAACCAATTCCCTTCAATATTGAGAAACAACTGTAATTTAAGAAATATGGCTCATAAGGAATGTTGCAGCTTGGGTGGGGCTACTCCTCATCCTCAAGACCTGTATTGTACCACTGAGGCTACATACTTTTATCATTATTTGGTTAATCCCAGTCTTCTTCCTTTATGAAAAAAGAAACTGTACTTAATATTTGTAAATAAATGTCCTGTATTTAACTAAAGAAATATTCCAGTTTTGTGTCTTTTTTCTCTAATAGGTTTTAATTCAGAATTGTCAAATGAAGATTTAAGGCAACGTCTTCATGAAACTTTAGGGGTAGGTACTCTGATCTAATATAAAAATTCTCATGTAAATAAAGTCTGCTGATAGATATTCTGTTAGTACAAAAATTGTATGGAAGGCCAATATTGGCTTTCCAGATATTTTTCTTTTTTTGGGGGGGGGTGCTGGGAATTGAACCCAGGACCTCACCTATACCCAGTAAGCACTCTACCACACACTACCACACAGTTATACCCGCAGGCTTTTTTTTCCTTGAGTGCATACTTTCCATCAGCCTCTTCTGTGTTTATCTCTCTCTCTCTTTTTTTTATATAAGGCCACTTATATAAACATGTCTACCAGTTCTCCCTTTGAATTTCTCTAATCTCCTCTTTGAGAAAATAATTGTCACAGGGATGCAGGTATAGCTTGGTAGAAGAATACTTATCTAGCATGTGTGAGGCCTTAGGTTTAAACTTTTTTAAAATTTAATTTTTAGTTTTAGGTGGACACAATATCTTTATTTTATTTTTATGTGGTGCTGAGAATTGAACCAGTGCCTCACGCATGTGACAAGTCACATCCCCATCCCCCCATCTCTTTTTTATTATTATTTTTTTTTAGTTTTAGGTGGACACAATATCTTTTTTATGTGGTTCTGAGGATCAAACACAAGTGCCTCATGCATCCTAAGCGAGCACTCTACCACTGAGCCACAACCCCAACCCTGTGTGCATCTCAAGGCCACTTATATAAACATGTCTACCAGTTCTCCCTTTGAATTTCTCTAATCTCCTCTTTGAGAAAATAATTGTCACAGGGATGCAGGTATAGCTTGGTAGAAGAATACTTATCTAGCATGTGTGAGGCCTTAGGTTTAATCCCCAGCATCACATAATTATAATAATATAATAATAATAAAAATAATAATTATTATCACTTCCAACTGCTTTCCTTATATGTGAGGTTTGAAATAATCGGTCTTAATTTAACCTCCTTGAAGTCAGAAGTCAAGAGATTCTCTCAGGTGATCTGAGGAATGCCCCAGCTTGGTGGGCACAGGGGTTTATAACAGGGTGCCTGTCCCCTGGGAAACCAGCCCACTTTAGTGTGTGTGTGTGTGTGAGAGAGAGAGACAGAGAGAGAGTGTTAAACTCTTATGAAAGCAGCTGTCTTTAAGTTCTCTAGGTCTGCTGTGATAAAGAACCACAAGCTGATGGCTTTAAACAACAGAAATGAAATGTCTCTCAGTTCTAGAGGTTTGAAGCCTGGATTCAAGGTTTTAGCAGACTCTCTTCTTCCCAAAGTTTCTAGAAGAAAATGCTTCTTTGTCTCTTCCTGGTTTCTGGTGGTGTTGCAGTCCTTGGCCTGTAGCTCCATAAATCCATTCTCTGCCTGACTCTCATATTGCTCTCCACTGTGTGTCTGTGTTCAGAGCTTTCCCTCATTTCATAAGGACACCAGTGATCAGATTGGTTCCCATCCTAATCTAGTATAACCTCATCCTAACTTGATTACATTTGTTAAATGAAACTAACTTTGGCCCAAGCCTTCCTATATACCTTGAGTCTTTATGTAATATTATGTAAACAAATAGAAAGCCTCATTTCAAAGTATATTTTTGTAATAACCAACTGAGTCCCAGCCAATCAGTGCAGCTGAGCTTCAGCAAATTACATGTTGCCTGGGCTGGGGATGTGGCTCAAGCGGTAGCGCGCTCTCCTGGCATGCGTGCGGCCCGGGTTCAATCCTCAGCACCACATACAAACAAAGATGTTGTGTCCGCCAAGTACTGAAAAATAAATATTAAAAAAATTCTCTCTCTCTCTCTTTCTCTCTCTCTCTTTAAAAAAAAAAAAAAATTACATGTTGCCTGCTGACTGTACCCTGCCCAAGTAAGGCAAAGGCTTGAGACATAACCACCAATCAAGACTCTTCTTTACCTCATTTCCATTTTCTGTCTATAAATGTTGCCTGCCCAACTTGAAGAGTAGGTCTCTCAACTTCTTCTGGCCAACTTGTATCTCATTCCTTGATCAATTAAACTGTTAAATTTCATTTGTCTAAAAGTTTTTTTTAAAACATATCTGCTAAGACCGCCTTTCCAGATAAGGTCATAGTCATGGTATTAGGGTTAGAACTTGAACATATCCTTTTCAAGGACACAGTTCAGACCACAACAGCTACTGTAGCTGAATAGATAGCCACCATGTGCTTATTTTATGTGGCCTAAATATTTTTTTCATGTTATTAAGTATGTGGCCAAAGTCAGTAAAAGCAAAAAATTTGGGCTTATTGTTACCAGTGATGCTTGATAGTTGGGTTCTCAGCTTTAGCCTGAATAGTTCATTTACAAAGTCTAGAGGGATTTAGATCCTCGTTTGTAGGTGCTTTGTATTATGGGTAAATGTGAACTAGTCAAATTGACAATTTGGGGGTTATATGTCTTGCCGATAGAAAGACTAATTTTATTTTTGTCCTCAGGAAGTAGAAATTTTAAAAACTGAACTTGAGGCATCTCAAAGACAACTTGAAGGTAAAGAGGAAGCATTGAAAATTCTTCAAAGCATGGTAAGAAGTTAGTTTTAAACTTTTATCAATTACATATTCCAATAATAAGTGATATATTTTTGACATTTAAAACAAGAGCAGGCTGATCCCCAGCACCAAAACCAAACCAACCAAAACAACCCAAACCAAACCAAACAAAAAAACTGAGAAGTACTTAATATAACTGTGTTGCAGTTTTTTTAGGTGTAGATTTTTCCATAGTTTTATAATTTTCACACTAAGAATTTCACTTGTTTTAAGAATGCAATACAATTTATTTGTACTTACTTGGGAGTTGTGCAACCATCACTACAGTCTAATTTAAAAACATTTCAGACATTCAAAAAAGGAATCCTGTATTCACTAGCAGGCATTCCCCATTCCAACTCATAGTCCTAGATGATCAATGATCATCTTACAAATTTGTCTTTTTCTGTTTCATACAAATACAACCATACAATATGATAACTAGATTCACTGGCATTTGGATTCTTCTAGTTAGCATGTTTTTGAAGTAAATGCATGTTTTAGTATGTATCAATACTTTCTTCCTTTGTATTGCCAAATAAAATTCCACTGTGAGGCCAGGTGTGGTTGGCACCTGCCTTAGTATTCCCAGTGACTCAGAAGACTGAGGAAGGAAGATCACAAGTTCAAGGCCAGCCTTACCAACTTAGTGAGACCCTGTTTCAAAATGAAAAATAAAGGGCTGAGGATATGGCTCAGAGGTTAAGCAATCCTCAGTTTGGTTCAATCCCCAATACAACAAACAAACAAAAATATTGTACAGTCATACCACATTTTATTTATACATTTACTGGTTGATGAATATGTGGGTTGTTTCTTCTTTTTAACTATGATGAATAATACTGCTGTGTACAGCTTCTGTGTGTATTCATTCATTCATTCCCACATTTATTGGGAAAGAATCAAATCAAACTCTTCTGACATTTGAGATATCAAATTTTCCACAAAAGTTTGTCAATATGAGCCAGGCACAGTGGCACATGCCTGTAATCCATAGGCATGTGCCACTGCCTCCTGAGGCAGGAGAATCAAGGCCAGCCTGGACAACTTAGTGAGGTCTTAAACAACTTAGCTATCTCCTGTCTCAAAATAAAAAAGAAAAATGGCCACAGATATGACTCAGTAGTATACTATCCCTGGGTTCACACTCCAGAACTGGGGTAGGGTAGGGGGAGACTGTCAGTGTGAAACTCTTAAGTTAAGAGTTAATGAAGTTCACATTCATTGTGTAAAAATATTATACTTCATTGTGCATATCAGAGTGACTGTAATTTAGTTTAGCCTGGTCTGGCAGTGCATGCCTATAACCCAGTTACTTGGAAGGCTGAGGCAGGATGAATGAAAGTTTGAGATCAATCTGGGCAACTTAGTGAGACCCTGTCTCAAAACAAAAAACAAAAAGGGCTGGGATGTAGCTCAGGGATAGAACACTTGCCTAGTCTGTGTGAGGCACTGGGTTCAATCCTCAGCATCACATAAAAATAAATAAATAAAATAAAAACTTAAAAAAAAAATAAAGAGGGCTGGGGCTGTAGCTCAGTGGCAGAGTACTTGCCTTGCACATGTAGGAGGCACTGGGTTTGATCCTCAGCACCACATAAAAATAAGCAAATAAAATAAAGACATGCTGTTCATCTACAACTGCAAAAAAAAATTTAAAAATAAGAAAAGAAATTTGATTTATACTCATGCTATTTTTATTTTCTATAGGCAGTATTTGGCAAAGCCACAAGTCATACCCAGGCAATGCTTCAAAAAACAATGGAGCAAAAGAAATCCTTGGAGAAGGTATTTGCATTTTTAGGGTAGACTTATTCAATCCAATAAGATTTAAATAGGATTTTCTTAAACTCACCATACTTTGGATATGCCATTTGTGCATACTCTCCAAGTATGCTTCAATCTCTGATAGTCTTCCCTTTGGGAGCAATCTAAAACAGATTGTCACGTGGGTAAAAAGCTAGTTTCTTTTATTTCTCCATTTATGGTAGTTGGAAGCCTGCCAAATTGATACTTCCTATTTTTCTTCCCTTTTTTATTCCTCTACTTCCTTGTCAGGGTCTGCATCTTTCTGGCAATAATAATAAACGACCACAATAAAAGTCACTAGGGATCATTCTAGATGATCACTTTTCTGTGTCTGTTGCACACCTGATAGGGCCATTTAGGCTGAGATTCCAGGAGTGAATTTTGCTTATAGTGTCTGCATGGGGAAGGGGTAGGCACTGAGAAATCTGTGTGCAGTCCAGCAAATTTTTAACTCAAACAATTTGAAAATTTTTTTATATTAAATGAATTTTAAGTAAGCAAAATTTCTTTGAGTGCTAAAGAGGCATACCAAATGTCTTTTACAAATGTCAGAGACTCTTTTGAATGATCATTTTTTTCTTTTTAAACCATTTCTGCGAAATGATTAAATGAAATGATATATTTGTAGTAATTTTCCATGAAAGTGCTATTTTCTTTCCCTAGGAAATAAATGCCTTGCAGTGGGAAATAGAATTTGATCAGAATAGATTTAAAAATATAGAGGAATCTTGGATCCAAAAATATGAAAGGTTTGTATAATACTTTATTCTTTACAACACTGAGGGCCTCAAAATGCACTGCTGGGCATGGTGGTACACACCTCCCAGTGACTAGGGAGGCTGAGGCAGGAGGATTGCAAGTTTGAGGCCAGCCTCAGCAACTTAGCAAATCCCTAAGCAATTTAGTGAGATCCTGTCTCAAAATAAAATGCAAAATAGGGCTGGGGATGTGGCTTAGTGGTTGAGTGCCCCTGAATTTAATCCCTGGTATCAGAAAAAAAAAGAAAAAAGAAAAAAAGAATCTTTAAAATGCTTTAATTCAAATGTAGTTTAGTCTTTCTTCTTTAAGCTAACTGTAAATATTATAAATTCTTACTGCTTAATGGTTCCTTATTTTTTGTTACTTTTCTGCCTTTCTATTTTTTTTTTAATATATATGACAGGGTATGGTGGCACATGCTTATAATCCTAGGTACTTGAGAGGCTGAGGTAGGAGAATCAAGGCCAGCCTCAGCAACTTAGCAAGACCCTATCTCAAAATTTAAAAATATATTTTAAACTCCTTTTTTCTTCAATACTGGGACTGAACCCAGGGTCTCAGACATGCGAGGCAAGTGCTCTACCACTGAGCTACATCCCCAGCCCTTTAAAGTAGAAAAAATTATATTTAGGTTTTTATGTTCTAATTATAGAAACAAAATTATTCTCATTCAGGAAGTGATAATGTTTTAGTTATTTGAAGGGTGCTTTTTTCCAGACTAAACTGTGAAAATGCAGTTCTCAAAGAGAATCTGAAACTGAAAACAGAAGAAATTAAAATGCTAAAGTCTGAACAAGCAAGTAAGTAAAGTGTGGTCTTCTGATGATTCTTTTAAAATATTATGTTTAAAGATTAGTTTTGCAGGTCTGAGGTTATGGCTCAGTGGCAGAGTACTTGCCTTGCACAGGTGAGGCACTGGGCTCAATCCTTAGCACCACATAAAATGAATAAACAAAATAAAGATATTGTGTCCATCTATAACTCAAAATATTAAAAAAGATTAGTTTTGTGTAGAGTATTATGTAGTAAGAACACATAATAGAAACAAAATGCTAGTATTTTTAAGTAATATGTTTTAAGGATAATCAAAGGAAGAAATGCATCATTGAGGTTTCTTAAATTTAAAATTTTATCAGCTCAAAATCCACCCAACATAAAATTTATCATTTTAAAAGAGAAATTCAGTGGCACTGACAATACTGTGTAGCCAAACCACTTCTATTTCCAAAACATTGGAGCTCTCCAAAGTAAAAGCTTGTACCCATTAGAGCTGGGAATAGAGCTCAGTTGGTAGGGTGCTTACCTTGCATGCACAAGGCCTTAAAAAAAAAAAAAAAACCTTCTACCCATTAAACTGTTTCTCCTTACTCCTTATTTTTATTTAGTTTTAGTGTAAAGTAAAACAGTAGAGCATGATGCTTGAGGAACCCAAGTAGAAAAAAAATATACACACACACACACAAATGTATGCACATATATAAAAATATATATCCATTATATAATGAAAATTAGAAGAGCATTAAAGTGGTACCAACTTTTTACAAATTTTTCAGAGAAGATGTTAATTCTCCCTTAGCAGAAACTAAGTGGTGGCTTGAAGGGGACAAAACAAGCTCTAAATCATCCCCCAGGACTGAGAGGCCTCTCTGTCGTGTGTGACAGAGGTGTATGAACATCTCCAGGTGAGATCTACACACACAGATGGTGTTTCAGGCAGTTGAACCCATAAAGCTGTGGCCTGTGTTAGATTAGGTCAGTATAGAAGCTGCTTTACTCACAACCTCTCCTACTTCCCTGCCCCTACCCTATAGCATGAGGGGGAAAGGTACTATTTTCTGCTCTCCAGCAGATAGCAGGATCCCTCATGTTCTAAATGTGTAGTTTGAGAGCCTCTTATAAAAACTTTTTTTAATATTTATTTTTTAGTTGTACTTGGACACAATACCTTTATTTTATTTATTTTTATGTGGTGCTGAGGATCCAACCCAGGGCCTCACATGTGCTAGGCGAGCGCTCTACCGCTGAGCCACAACCCCAGCCCATGAAAACTTTTAATAGGGAAAAATCTGGTAAAGTGTGGCAGCTGGTACATTCAACATGAATACAATATATGAGATCTCATCATCCATTTCTCCTACTATCTGCAGTTTCTGAATAATTTGCCTTTACATGTTCCCTTTTTTAAAATCCTACAAATTTTCCCAGAGCCAACAAGGAGCAAATTTGGGATTCAAAGTTAAGATGCTTTGGTATTAAAAATAACTTTTTTGGGCTGGGGATGTGGCTCAAGCGGTAGCGCGCTTGCCTGGCATGCGTGCGGCCCGGGTTCGATCCTCAGCACCACATACAAACAAAGATGTTGTATCCGCCGAGAACTATAAAATAAATATTAAAAATTCTCTCTCTCTCTCTCTCTCCTCTCACTCTCTCTTTAAAAAAATAAAATAACTTTTTTTTTTCTGGGTGTGGTGGTGCATTCCTGTAATCCCAGCAATTTGGGAGACTGAGGCAGGAGGATGGCAAGTTCAAAGTCAGTCTCAGCCACTTAGCAAGGCCCTAAGTAACTTAGTGAGACCCTGTCTCAACATAAAATATATGGGTTAAGCACCCCTGAGTTTAATCCCTGGTCCAAAAAAATTTTTTCTAGTATTGTATGTTATTTCACATGATACTTGCTATTCAATCAGTAGGTTTTTTGGACGGAGCCCAAAATCCATCAGTTGTATATATGTAGCTCAGAAGAAATGACTATATCTAATCTGGTGTAGCCAGATTAGATGAGGCTAGATTCATAACTAACATTCTCCTGTATGGCTTTCCTAGTTTTGAATAAACAATACTTGGAGGCCCTCGCCATACTTGATATCAAACAGCAGAAGATGGCTCAGGAAAACATGTGCCGGGATAAAAATGACTTTACAGAGGTGTCAGGTCTTGAGGTAGGTATGTATGTAAGGAAGGTGGGAAGGAGATTTTCTATTTTCCTCTTTCTTGGTACCTGTTCAAAGATGGCACTGTACTTAGCAATTTGAGACTAAAGGTGAGAGAGGCCCAAGGATTTGCAGAGGTCAGTTTTTCACACCTTGCTGCTACCATGACCTTCAGGCATGACATTCTTGGACATTAGGGGTGTGCTGGCTGCTTCTCACCTCATTTATTTCTTATTTTTACAACTGCAGCAGAAGCTGTGTTAAGTAGTGTCTCACTCCTGGGCAAGGGCTTACAATGTGAGAACTTTCACACCTTATTTTATCTTATCTTTATAGTTGTCTCTGAGGGCTACAAAGTGGGTATTATCAGTCTAAAACTTAGACAAGTTCATTTACTTTCCCAAGGTGATGAGATAGCCTGTGGTTGAGCAAGGATCAGAATGAAGATCTGCTAATGGTTCTAGTGTGGGTGTTTGGCTAGTGAGGTTCAAAGGTCCTGAGTTCATATATATATATTTTTTTAAAGTGGGGATTGAACCTGGGAGCACATTACCACTGAGCCACATTAACCAGCCCTTTTTATTTTTTGAGACAAGGTCTAAGTTTCTGAGGGTGGCTTTGAACTTGGATCCTCCTGCTGGGATTACAGATGTGCACCACCACGCCCAGCTTCATGTAACATTTCTGAGTATGCAGTCTCCTCAGAGGGAACTGGCAGTTAGAATGAAGGTGCATGAAAAATATAATTGTATAAGATTACCCACAGATGGGCTGGGATTGTGCTCAGTGGTAGAGCGCTTGCCTAGCATGTCTGAGGCACTGGGTTCAATCCTCAGCACTGCATATAAATAAATAAAATGAAGGTCCATTAACAACTAAAAAATTTTTTTAAAAAATTACCCACAGGCTATGTCTAAAGTGTACATAAAAAATAAATGAATTTCTTGGTTTAGAACTGGATCCTGTCCTCAAAATAGCTCATTATGTATATTCAAATATTCCAAATTCCAAAAAAAATCCATAATTCTGAAAAATTTCTGGTCCCAAGCATTTCAGATATGGTATACTAAACCTGTTTAGCAGAAAGGAAAATAAAATCAACTGAGAAAAAATTCAGGAAATCTTCTGTTACAATCTTGAATAGGCTCCTGTTTTTTCTCCCTTTGATTCTGGATCAGATGCTTGAATAGTAGTATGTGTGGGTATGTGGGGGTGCCCTGCATTGTGTGCAGCTAAAACAGTGTGACACTTAGTAACATGGGTAATGCTTTTGGGTTTTAAGCTTGCAATCCTTGGAGCCTGCCTTTGTCATGGTCCTGGAAGGAGCCCCTGTTCTTGTGCCAGAATGGCAGCATCCACTCATAAACTGGTTCTTCAGCTCAAAAACGAGGTATTGCATTATCACAATAGCAGAAGCTTTGATTCTTTTTCTATTAATACAATAAATGGAGGTATATGCAGTAATTCCTCTTACTAGCCTTTGGCTGTGGAACTTATAGTTAGCTTTATATGACAGCATTAATTTATAAATGAGATTTTGTTTACTTGATTCCAATATAAATAGTACTTGGTATGATATTTGAAGTCATGTAGTCATTTGCCTAAGGCAATAGTTAATGTTTCCTAAATTTGTATTTTTCTCAATTATATATGGTCTTAAAATTACTATAAAATAGAAGGAAAAGTTGTATTTATGCTTAATATCTCTAGGAATTAGTAACAGTAACACTGATTAATAGGGAGATAAACGTGAAGATTACTTGAAAAGCAACCAGGTATAGACTTTGTGCAGGCCAGACTTAGGGGTGCACCTTAGCTCCAGTTATTTGCAGTGTGGGCAGGATATCTCAGTTTCCTCTATTTTAAACAGAGGGTAGTAACTACCTTAGAGGGTTGTAGTGAGAAGAGGAAATGGATATATTATGTTTAGCACAGTGCCATGAGTGTGCCACTTAATGATAGTTATTATAATTGGGCTTTTATTATAAATCTTGTACATGACCCATAATTTTTAAAATGTTTTACTATTTTTTTAAGGAATGGAATTCAGATCCTTTAGGCAAGCTAACAGCTAAACATTAACAATTCACTAAGAAAAGTATACATTTACATGTATCACAGTTGTGATAAGCTCTGGGAGGTATTCCAGAGGTGTTCAGTGGTGTTTGCTGTGGCTCAATGCCAAATTAAAATGCAGCCTTTGACATCTTGCCTTCTAATTCTAGTTGGGTCCTTCCTCCTGGGATGTGGGGAGTACACTCATAGAGCTTGTCTAGGGTAGAAAATTCCAAGAACTGGATTAGCAAATAGTTGAAAGGCGCCAAGGGGGAAACTACTGATAATCCAGATCATAGTAGGCTCTAGAATCAGCAAGTGGTAATTTTAGTTTAAGCAGGTAAACTAAATCAATACCAGCAATAGATCAGTATCAGACAGGGAGACTGCATATGTTAATTTGATTCAACATTCAGTACAGGCAAAAACTATTTTGGTTTTGCCTCTGACACTTCCTGAACTTTCTTTCAAAACCAGTTGGAACTTTTGCAGAAGAGTAAAGAAGAAGCTTACACAATGGCAGATGCATTCAGAATTGCATTTGAGCAACAATTAATGAGAAAAAATGACCAGGCACTAAGATTGACACAAATGGATAAAATGTGTAAAAAAGCAACGAAACAGATAAATTGGAAGCACCTTAAAGAGGATGGTAACTATGAATTATAATGACCATAAATAATGAGGTATAAATTCAGTTGTTTTGGGTTATAATCAAAGTTGATGAAACACAGTTAATCCAGAGTAGATGAATAGAATTGAAATTTCACATGTAGTTGTTTGTGATTTATTTAAAAATTGAGTTGGATAAGGTGTTGCACCCCTATACTCCCAGATGCTCTGGAGGCTCAGGCATGAGCATCACAAGTTTGAGGCCAGCCTTAGCAACTTAGCAAGTCCCTGGGATGAAGGTCAATGGTAGAGTGCCCCCATATCATAAAAATAAAAAATTCAATAGTAGATATCAATTTCGCTTGAAATATTTTTCCATCAGTATACATAAGTAATACCATATAAGTCAACTATTGTGAATTGTAGCTTCACTAGTTAAACTTTACCCCTTCTTCTCTTGATGAAAAGGTAAGTGGCTTGTAAGGATAATGAGAAGATAAGTAGTTAGAACTACGAAAGACAGAAAAGCAAATCATAAAAGCTATATCTTTAGAGTGTTCATCAGGTAGAAGTTAGGGCTACAGGGAAAATAGAATATCCCACAACTCTCATTTCCTAAAAAGGCAGTCACATTGTCCTGAAATTAGATTCCAAAAGTGTCACTGACATGAGGCTTTCAGCGTCCACTGAGCAAATATAAAAGCTAAATCCTCAACAATTATTTATTTTTGGTACTGGGGATTGATCCTGAGTTGCTTTACCACTGAGCTTTATTCTCCTTTTTATATTTTTTATTTAGACACAGGGTCTTGCCGAGGCCAGCCTTGAACTTTCAATGGTCCTGCTGCAGCCTCTTGAGTTGCTGGGATTTTAGGCATGTGCCTCCGCACCTAGCTACAATAATTTATAATAAATACAAAATTAATATCTATGTCTATTTTCTATAATAATTCCTTTATAAAAGTTGAAGGTCTACCTCAATGTTTAACTCAGGGTAGGTGATTTTGCTAGGGGAAAAAAGCTGACATGGTCCTTCCGTGTATTTAGACTTCTAGCTAGGCATCAACAGAAAACAAAGAATTTTAGTTCCACCATGGACAATTGTTGAGAGTGATATTCCTCAGACACCTTTCTTCTCAGCTAGGCCCTTGATAAGGGCATGATTTTCAAAGTGTAGACAGCTATGGTGTTCTGGGTTAAGTGAAGTCAGATTCCTTTGGAAATCGGATGTTAATTACTTGTTTATTCTGTTGGAAAAGGAATATTGAGGGAGAGAGAAGAAAAGGAGAAAGCAGGACCAAAGGAATCTTAGGAAAGCCTGTTAGTCTGTCACCTGCAACAATGGACCCAGCTCTGCGGGGAGGTTGGGCCATTAGGATGTTGCTTCATAGACAAAATTGGGATTTTCTTAAGAGGTGGAGTCATATTCATTCAGCACTTGAATATGTGCTTATTTTATATTCCAGAATTCTGCTTAATGTAAGAAGTAGGAAAAATCAAAATGTTTCACATACCACTCACTACAGCAGTTGACACCAAAAGTGTTGGGGATGTCCCCACACACTAAACAATTGGTTCTCCCTTGGACATCACCCAACAGGTCCTGCAGTATAACTCAACCCTGACTGTATCTACTAACTTCAGATTACACAGTGTAAAGGCTCAAGTCTCATGAGTTTGCCCCCATTCAGAGGCCAGTCAATAAAAGTAGGTTATTAACTAGTATTTCTCAGTGAATTGGATTCCTTATGACCACCTCTGTGGGTTCAATTAGTTTGCTAGGATGGCTCATAGAACTCTAAGAAACACATTTAGTGGTTAATTATAAAGGATATTACAGGCGCTAGGGTTGTGGCTCAGTGGTAGAGCGCTTGCCTAGCATGCATAGGTTCAATCTTCAACACCACATAAATATAAATTAAAGACATTGTGCCAACCTAAAACTAAAAATTAAATATTTAAAAAAAAGGAGGGGGCTGGGGATGTGGCTCAAGCGGTAGCGCGCTCGCCTGGCATGCATGCGGCCCGGGTTCAATCCTCAGCACCACATACAAACAAAGATGTTGTGTCCGCCGAAAACTAAAAAAAACAAAAAATATATTAAAATTCTCTCTCTCTCTCTTTAAAAAAAAAAAAAAAGGAGGGCTGGGATGTAGCTCAATGGCAAAGTGTCTGCCTTGCATTCGCAAAGCCCTGGGTTCGACCCCCAGTTCCAAAAAAGACCAAAAAAAAAGAACTCCACCAAAAAAAAAATAAGATTTTTTTAAAAAGGATATTACAAAAATACAGATGAACAGTCAGAAGGAAGAGATGCATAGGGCATGTGGGGAGGGGCACAGAATGTCTGTACCCTTCTGGGACATGCTACCCATCAGGAGCCTGCACACATATTCAGCTATCCACAAGTTTCTCAAACCCAGTCTTTTGGGAGTTTTATGGAGGCTCCATTATCAGTCGCTGGACATTGATAATCAATTCAATCTTTAATCCTTCTCCCATCCATGTGGCTCCTTCAGCCATTTTTTTTCCTTTTACTTTTATTTTTGGGGGGGTGGGTACCAGGGATTGAACTCAGGGGCACTCAACCACTAAGCCACATCCCCAGCCCAATTCCTGTATTTTATTAGAGACAGAGTCTCACTGAGTTATTGTCATTTTTAAGTGGCATCAAAATAAAAATAAAGGTATTGTGTCCATCTACAACTAAAAATATTAAAAAAACAATCATTTATGGCATAGGAACCTCAGAAGTAGGTAATATTATTTTCATTTTAGAGGTGAAGAATATGAAGCTCAGAAAACTCATCCAAAACTTACCATTAGTAAGTTGGCTAAACAAGGATTTGAGCTCAGGTCTTTTTGGCTCCAGCGTTAGCATGATTCAGAGGCCTCTGTGGTCTGCAGACATTTTTGTTGGGTCTGCATTGTTTTTTCAAATCATGTAGTTAGTGGCTGATACTTAACATTGAGAGATTTGCCATTCAATCTGTGATTCTGGCTACTCTGACATGGATTGCATTCTCTCACAGCCAAAAGCTGGTGCTAAAGAGCAACTATGCTATAAAAAGGCAGGCAGGCCCTGGGTTTTTCAGTGGTGGCCCTGTCACCTTCAGATGCCCTCCTGGCTCTCAAGTCCATGCTCCTACCACTACATTATCTTTTTCAGGAGATTCACATGTCCCAGTGGCCTCTTGAAGAGGACAATGTGTGGACTGATTTAGAAATTAGTGTTGGTTCACAGTTATCTCCTTACTGGAAATACTTCAATGAACACATTTTTGTCTCAGCTGTGTTTTCATGTTCTTTAGGAGATTCATCACAAAGGAGTAAGAAGACCTTAGGGCAGAAACTGTTGGGTATGTTGCCTTCAGAAAACAGTTCTAAGAGAAATGAAAACCAGGATGATCCTCAAGCAGTTTTTAGGATGCTAATAGATCTGGTTAGTAACCTTTGCTTTCTTTTTATTAGAGGTTGTGGTTAAGCCAGTCTCTTCTGCCTCTTACTAATTCAGCACTTCATCTCTCTATACTTTTTCTTTTATGCTCTTTTCCTATTTTAGGATAGCATTCTCCAAATTCATGTGACCATCTCCTTAACTCTTGCTCTTTCCATTTCTCTTACTCATGTTTAAAGCTCCACCTCTGAAACTCCCTCCTTCAGCCAGCTCAGTCGCCTGCATTTACATGTAAATGTCAGATAAGGCACAAATATCACTTAAGGTTCAAGGCACTTCCAAAACCCTGAAATTATTGTTATCCCCATTGCAGATAAGATGTTGAGTGACTGAGGTGTTTTTAAACATACTTTAAGGACTTTTAATACTCATTTGCATATAAATCTATAAAAAAATTTATGAATAACAATATTCTTTTAGAAATAAATGTTGATATATTGTGTACACACACACACACACACACACACACACACATTTCTCCTGCATCTAGATGACTTATAAAATTTTCAATAGAAGTAATACTATTTTGGCTGGTCACGGTGGCACACACCTATAATTCCAATGGCTAGAGAGGCTGAGGCAGGAGGATTGCGATTTCAAAGCCAGCCTCAGCAACAGTGAGGCTCTAAGCAACTCAGCAAGACCCTGTCTCTAAATAAAATACAAAACAGGACTGGGGATGGGCTGGGGATGTGGCTCAAGCGGTAGCGCGCTCGCCTGGCATGCGTGC